ATATATAGATATATATATATATATATATATATATATATATATATATATATATATATATATAGAGAGAGAGAGAGAGAGAGAAAGAGATACGAAGTATCATTGTCTTTACCATCCCTTCTTGTTTTTCCTCCCCTGAATTCGAAGGTTCCTCAATCTGGAAGATGATTACCATATGTTAGGGTACAAAGTCATGTTTGGATGTGGAGTCTTTGGTTTTACCTTCTTGTATGTGTAAATGGGTTGAGTCTTTCCTATAAATAGGAAGTGAGTGACTCCCATTATGTGAGGAACCATTTGGAGTGTTAGACTAGAGAGAGAAAATTTGTACAAACCCATTTGTATATCCTTTCTAGATCTAATATGAGCTTACACAGAATTATTTACTCCTTGTGTTCTTGAGTTTGTATGATGATTCACTAGATCTTTTCTTATTCGGCACATGCCATCATAATCAACACCACTATAATTGGTATCACAGCGGGTGTTCTTGATTTGATCAAGAATTGATCCATGGTGGCAATCTAGATTTGGTGATTCATTTTGAGTTTTGATCTTCGTGTTATTGAGAGTTTGGATTCTAGAAATCGAATTTATCTTTGTTTCTATTCATAATTCGATTTTCTTCACTAGAATTCAAGTGATTTTTACTTTCTCTCTCTAGAAAACCCATTCAAAATCATTTTCTCTCTCTAGAAATTTTCAAGTTCTTGTAATCATGGTGGATTTGCCATATGATTCTTGGATTTTGATCATTGAAGATATCAAATACAAAGTCAATGAAGATCAATTTTATGGGTTGGTGTTAAGTAAATTGATTTCATGGGGTAATATGGTTTCTTATGGAGATTTGAAGGATGATAATGGAAGCTTGATTTTTCAGCCACTTTGTAAGATTGTATGGTTGAATAAAATTGCCTTGTCCATATTAGTCCGTAGTAGAAACCAAAAGGAAGGAGAAGAAAGAGATTTGTTTAATAAGAAATACATTTCTCTAATTGAAAACCCGAATGATCTTCGTGCTCTTAAGTTGGTTGAAGTTCTTGACAATGGAGTTGAATGTGATGTTCTTGATGTTCAAGAAAAAGGAGTTCAAGTTGATTCTCATGATGAAAAAGTTTTTTGCTCGATTGGAGTTCAAACCGATGATATTTTGTGTTCTTGTGATTCGTTTGAAGGAATGATTCCTTATCGGAAGCCGGTGATCCAAGAAATTCACAAGTATCAAACTCCAAAAGATTTGATTCAAATTCACAAAGTTGAAGTTGTGGAAAGTGGGTTTGTTCATGAAATCAAGTCTTCAAGATGCAAAAAGATAAGAAAGAAAAAGAAGAAGAAGATCAAACGCAAAAACAAGCGGGTTTATTCACAAAAATCGTCAAATGTTGTTGAATCTAAATCTGTGAAGCAAATTTGGGTTCCAAAGCAACAACCTCCAAAGGTTGCATTGAATTTGAAGTTAAAACCCAAAAGTGTTGGTGGTTCTTTTGAAGATGTTCTTGGTTTGATGAAAAACACAAATAACGAGTTGTACAACGTGCATAGTGGGTGGTACAATGTTCAAATTGGAGATTTTCTCATTCTAACAAAAGAACCAAGATCTTCTAAATTTGATTCGTTCGTTACAAACAGATCTCGATTCGTCAAAAAGGTATCTCAAATTCTCAAATGGATTCCAAAACATCCATGATTTCGAGTCGTATTTTACATTTTTCATTTTTGATCGATTTGTCTCATTGGATCAATCAGTTTCAACCCCCATTGATGATCTAATATAATTTTTCAATAGATCAAGCCCAAATCATGAAAATTACTGTTCACTGAACATATTTGAACCCAAAATTTTTGATCTGATTACTATTTGTTCAAGCCCAATCTGATTAAAGCTCATATCGTTGATTCATACTTTTGAGTCCTAAATAAAATCTCAAGTACTGTTCATGTTAATTTTCGAAGCCCAATCTGTGATAATGAATCCAATACTGTTCTTATTATTTTGAGCCCAATCAACTAATTTGAATACTTTCATAAATCTATTCCTTAATCAAGTGTTCGAAGTCTCTGAACTATTGTTCTCCTTCAAAATCATCGATGTTTAATTCTCATATCTTAAAATCGAAATTGAAACTGGATTTCTATTGCTTGCTTGAAGTCGAACATTGTATTTAAAATCAATTTCGACTGATCTTCTTAATTTGAGATTTCATGCCAAATAGGTATATGAAATCGATGATGGTTAATGAAGTTTGAATCGACAAAGGAATAGTTAAAGTTGACTTGGAATCGATGTATCTTTGGAGTCGAACGTCTTGAAGTCGACTGATTTGATTTGGATATGGAGTCAAAATCAATTTAAGTCAAAGATGGGTTGAAAAGTCAAAATTGATTAAGGTTCATGCGTAATAGCGAAATCAGATATGTCGATTGTCGATTGTTGATTTGGAATTGAGTATTGGAGTCGACACTCCCTGTTACTTGAGGTTGAATCGACAGTTTAGAATTCGTTTATTGGATTCTGATGCTTGATATCGCTTTTGATCACGAAAGCTGTGAAATCAATTGGAATTGAGATTTATATGTCGATGGTTTTTGATGTCGATGGTGGATGAATGAAAACGAAATCGAGTTTGTGTGGTAGTTTAATGTGAGTCTGGACATTTCGACGAGTTGGTTATGTCGATGGTTTGATGAAGGATTGGTTTTTGAGTCCGATTGATGTTTAATGACAAATTGAGAAAGATGGAAGATAACAGATTGATTGTTAATGAATTGATGGTTTGATGAAGGTTTGAATGCGTCCGTTTTTTTAAGAATGGAGCGAAGGTCTCAAATTGATTGGTTAATAACGAAAGTTTTGATCACGAAAGTTTGGTTTTGAGAATCGGTATCCACTAACGAAGGTTTGGTTATTAGTTTCGAAAAATTGATAACTAGTAGCGAAGGGTTGTTTGTTATTTCGAAAGTTTGGGATATGTTTGGATTGTCGAAGATTTTGTTGTCGATAGTCACTGGTTAACGAATCACAAATTGGAGAAGAAACCAAAAGTTTCGACATTGGTCCTTAAAGTTTCGACTATTTCACAGTTTATACACATATTCGAAAGATGAACTCATTTTCGAAAGTTTGGAAGTGAAGAATATAGAAATTTCGAAATGCATCCCTGAAGTTTCGAAATTTTGGCAACAAATATCCAATTTCGAAAATCGGATAATTTTCTGAGAAATTGAAGAATGTACATTTCTAGTCCCTGCAGTTTGTGCAAATTAATATTTTCTACCCAGTTTCTCAAAAGGGGGAGAATTTCACATAGTAGACTGTTTTTGGCGCAACGGGTCCCTGCAAAATTCTAAGAGTGACGGTTTTTACCCGGATTTTGGAAAATTTTGCAACTTTCGCCCAAAAAGTCAAAAAATTTCACAAATTGGAATTTTTTTTAGGCATTTCGTGATTGTTTTTCCGTGCAAGATTTTTGGTGTTTCATTTTTGGTACACATCAAGGGGGAGTATTGTGAAGTTTATTCCTCGAGCGCTTCTCACTCTTAATAGGTTTTATAATCATTTTTTGATTATAAAAAGGGGGGAATGATGGGTATTCGAAGTAGGTTTGTCGGATATTCATTTGCGGATTTGAACACTGGTGTTACTTCGAGTGGGAGTTTGGTCTTGATCGCGCTAGCTCGTTGGAGACTGAAGCCGGGACATCCAATCCTAACTTTAAGGGGGAGAATGTTAGGGTACAAAGTCATGCTTGAATGTGGAGTCTTAGGTTTTACCTTCTTGTATGTGTAAATGAGTTGAGTCTTTCCTATAAATAGGAAGTGAGTGACTCTCATTATATAAGGAACAATTTGGAGTGTTAGACTAGAGAGAGAAAATTTGTACAATCCCATTTGTATATCATTTCTAGATCGAATATGAGCTTACACAGAATTATTTATTCCTTGTGTTCTTGAGTTTGTACGATGATTCACTAGATCTTTTCTTATGCCGCACATGTCATCATAATCAACACCACTACACCATATTCAAGTTAGTCTAGTGATTTTTGGTATTTGAGTTTGTGGAAGAAAGAGGGAGAGAAAGATGTATAGAATGAGGGTCAAAAATCTAAGAGAGATATTATTCACGTTCGTTGGGGTTTTGGGTGGAGAAAGATAGATAGATAGATAGATAGATAGGGTGGGTGGGTAAGATAGGGTTAGAGTGGGGATTTTGTGAGCCTCTCTTATTTTTTAATTATTAAAATATAAAAAATAAATATTAAAAAATATAAAAATAAAAATAAAAAGGTATAATAGTCATTTTGATTTTGGAAGGGACCATATCCATATATATGCCCAAAAAGACCACCAATTTAGTTTTTTAAAAGTTTGAACCTTTTTTCTGAAAAAAAAAATACATACCACATGGACCATTTTTGCAGTTTTGTCAAAGACTAAGATATAATATACTCTTTTTAAAATATTTATATTTATTTTAAATAATAATATTTATTAGAATATAATATATAAATAACTAATTAAATAAAAAAATATACCAAAGAACCTTTGACCTAACAGTAAGTTGACGTATACGCGTCCATCAACCAAATGTGATGATTGAAATATTGATTTCAGAACAAAATGTGTAGAATAGAAATAGTATAGTGGGTGCGTGTCTAAGAAAAATAAAAAGAAATTTATAATTAATTTAAATAGATAATAGTAAATTAATTAAAATTATATAATAAAAAAACTACACATTAATATAAATAAAATAGTTATTTAATTAAATATTAAAGTTATTGATTTCAGAACAAAATGTGTAGAATAGAAATAGTATAGTGGGTGCGTGTCTAAGAAAAATAAAAAGAAATTTATAATTAATTTAAATAGATAATAGTAAATTAATTAAAATTATATAATAAAAAAACTACACATTAATATAAATAAAATAGTTATTTAATTAAATATTAAAGTTATTATAACCTATTAAAAAGCAACCATGAATAGTAATTTATCTCATGCCACCTGTGACCTGCCTTCCCTTCTTCTCTCCTTAAAATCGTTCTATTGTAAATAAGACGCCGCCTTTGTTCTTCACAGTTAAACCGAACAGTACTCTCACCACCGCCGCCCTATACGTCGTCGCTCACCACCACCAACCTGTACGCCGCAGCTCGCCACCACTACCCTGCTCTTCCTTCTCTGTTAACTACCGTCGCATACCTGCTTTGCCTTCTCCGTTCACCTTCGAAGTGTACACACTCAACTTCTGGAGGGTATCTCACATCAAGTAAGCTGTGTTATCTATAATTTTTATTCAATTTTGATTATCAGTTGGGGAAAACTTTGGAACTATCCTCCGATGAACTTCCTGCCATAGTTTTGGGTTTTGATGCTTCCCTGAAGGAACCATGTTCATTCATGGTTTTCGCATAATTTGAATTAGGATTCTGTTGGGTGAAATAGATAATCTCTTTCTTTTATTGATCTCCTCTTTAAGCATTTGGGTTATTTGGTTTTCTATATAAGGTGACCCTTTATTTCTTTCTCCGGTTCTAAACAATGGCAAATAGATCAGAATCTGTCAATATTTTATCGGACAGGAAGACCCCACACAAACCCCAATAATTTTCCTAAACAAGCCTTCATTTTCCCGAAGTTTGTAATTGAACAGAGAAAACAACAACATAATGTTCCTCCGCTGAATCAATCTGTGTTTAAAATCATCATCAGATTCATTATGTGATTTTGTTCATGTTTGAATCTGTTGCAATCTCTGCTACCAAATTAAATTAGGCATACATCATACACATACACACACACACAGAGATGCAAATTTCTCTACATATAATTGTATACTTTCATCATCTTCTTGAAGGTTTTAATGGGACCAAGATGGAAAGGAAAAGGGTCAGAAGCAAAAGCCCTTGAAAATCCCATGTCAAAGACAATTTCAGATCTTCAATCTTCTCTAATCAAATCCAATTCTTCAGGAATACTATCAGGCTTTAGTGTACTTCTTGCAAGTAATCCTGACGAAATTGACCTTCTAAATCAATCCTGTTTTGGTAAACCAATTACAACAATCGATAAAGATAAACAATGGTTTCAGTTGACTTTAGAAGAAGCCTTTTATCTATCGTTTTCTCTAAATTGTATAAAGATTGTAACCGGTGATAATATTATAAAAACAAATAACGAGTTATGGGATTACATGATCTCCAAAAGGGAATCTTTCCCTTATTTCTTCAAAGCTTATTCTCATTTAAGAGCCAAGAATTGGGTTGTGAGGTCTGGGTGTCAATATGGTGTTGATTTTGTGGCATATCGCCATCATCCTTCACTTGTTCACTCTGAATACGGTGTGTTGGTGTTCTCTGAAGGGAATCGGAATGGAATTGGAGATGGGAATGGGAATGGGAATGGGAATGGGAATGGGAATGATAGATTGAGGGTTTGGTCTGATTTTCAATGCACGCTTCGGCTTTCTGGTAGTGTTGCAAAGACATTGTTGATTCTTTATGTGAAGAACAAAAATGGTGAAAATGGGGTTGTGGAAGATTCGCTTTGTTGTTTAGAGAATTATAGTGTTGAAGAGAGAACAATTACAAGATGGAATCCAGAAAGGTGTAGAGAGGATCAAGGGAATGTGGAAAATGGGAACTCTAAATGCAAGAATTGATGACAATGTACTTTCATTTATTTTTTTATTATAGCATCTTATAAAGGCATTGTACTTTTATAAATCTATCTGGTTAGCATTGAACTTTTGATTTTTTTTTTCTTTTTAGGACATTTTATGTTGAAAACTCTACCCAACTATAGCAATGAAAATTGCTTGGTATTGTGATGATAATAGGAAAAATTTGAAGTGGGATGCTATAAAGCCTATATAATAAGCAAATATATGAAAGTAGGTTGCTAGTTATAATTATTAGTTGCATATATAACTCTATTGTTAGCTGTATTTATAAAAGATGAATTCTTTGAATACGTGCTTCTCATATTTAATGATGTGTTGATGTAGAGCCAACTGCATGAAATAACAAGGAACTTTCATTTATGTATTTATTATATAACATCCTACTTTCTAATATTTATCTACTATAAAATTGAATTTTCAATATTTTTGTTATTGAGGCATTGAATTCTGAAAAATGTACCTTGAAAAAGTCTATCCAGTTATATTAATGAAAATTGCTTTGTATTTTGATGACATTGCTATCATTAGGCATATTTTTCAAACTATAATGTTATAATAGGAAGAAATGGAAGTATGATGCTATAGTAAACAAATAAAAGAAACTATAATATGTATGGTTCGTCGCTTCCTACATATAAGCCCAGTCACATATAATATATTTTTTATTATTTGAACTTTCGTTTGTTAATGTAAGAAATAATTTTATTTACTTATTTTTATGTATGTTTCCCCTCAACTCTGTCAAATGTCACTTTGAACCCACGGCTTTGAACTTTATAAAATGTCACTTTCATCTTTTTGACTTTCTAAACTTTCATGTTAACCCGATCCATGATATTCGTATATTTACTTACAAACAAATGCAATGGTATGTAATTTTTATCAATACAAAATTCAATTTACAAAACGTATTGGCATCACCACAACGCGAGGACATATAATATATCGTTTCAGAGAACACCAACACACCGTATTGCCCCATTCCCATTCTCAAATATCGTTTCAGAGTATCGATATCTCATTCACTTATACTTATACCGAATTGGAGATGGGAATGGGAATGGGAATGGGAATGAGATATCAATATTTATTCTCAAATACCCATCTTTGAGTATCGATATCTCATTCATTTATACTCTATTTTGGACATATAATATATCGTTTCGAAGTCCTCATGGAGGAGAACACAAACCCACTTAGAGTTCGTTATATATACAACATATGTATATATTTATATATGTCCAAAGTTAGTAAAAATATAAATATTTATACTAAATTTCCAACAAGTAATTGGGTAAAATTTTCATGATATTGAACATATATCAAGAATCAATGGCTTATAGCGTACAAATAGAGAAAAGTTTTGTCTGGTTGTTAAAAATTGTTTTCAGTTTTTTTGAAAAATTTTCAAAATTTAAGGTGAAGTTTTTATTTTTAGTTTCAGTAAAATAAAGATATGAGAATTTACATTGATCGTGAAATGCAAATGAATAAAATGAAAAATATTTTGTTTAGGAAGGGATCACAGAATTTTTGAAATATAGAAAACATCTTTCGTTAAATTTGATTGATTTTTCATTTTCCTTTTTGATAAATTAGAAATCATGTTTGGATATATTCTATGGGTTTTCATCTTTTAGTTTTTGTTATTACAAATTCACCCCAAATTTAGTTTAATTAGTTTTTGTTATTACAAATTCACCAAAATTTAGTTTAATCTTCTCTTATTTTTTTTATTTTTTTTACAAATATACTATTTTTGGACCGCTTTTACAACCTTTTTATTGGTGCTGATTTGGGACATTGCGGCTGCTACTGCGGCTGTTACGGCCGCCTGGAACATTATTGGGTCGAACTGAGGGGGTGGTGGTGGTGGCGGTGGCGCTGCAGCTCCTGCGACGCCGCCACGTCTAGGATTTCTACGAGGTGGCATCTTCTGCCATATCAATAATGAAAAGACAATAAGTCCTTGATAACATTCACAAGTCGAGGGTTAAAAACTAAATATTATTAGTTCTTTATATGCATCATGATTCCGACTTGTAAAGATATTGTAAAACCCATTCATACTAGAGGTCTATAGATAATGAAATATAGACTTTATGATTTTTTTGATAGTTTTGATTCACATGAAATGTCTGTGATAGAATCCATATCGGGCCCATCCAACAATCGTTAGATGTATAATATTTACATGTAATTAAGATTAAATAAACTTTCGAATCTAATGAGTCTGCCTTGGGTCCACAACCAAACAAGGAACAGGATCCAAGGCGGAACCACCATTTCTAGGTCGACATGGTCTTAATTATAGATAACTTTGATTTATACATCAAACAATCATAAATTGGACACCAGTAAATTTAGTCTGAAAACAATCTCTGTCATGAACTTGATGTAATGATCCCAATAAAACAAATAGCGCGTCAATTTCATTGATATAACTTAGTATACAATATTCGGGAAAATTTGACCCTACGAGGGGTCTATGCTACATCAATGTATGGAAAATTTTTGACCGCCTAACAGATCCCGGAAGTGTAAACACTTAAATAGCGAGATCGGACATAAAAATACTAGAAAATAATAGTAATATTTATCCGCAAAACAAGATTAAACTGAAGCGAGTAGTGAAAACACTATTTGCGGCGGTTGAAGCTCTGAGGATCACGAAGTGAAGACACGAAGTTCCTTGTTTCCCTCATTTCAGCTCTGGATTCTGCTGCTTGGCGCTCTGCTTCTGCCAGACATCCTTCTAAAGTGGCTCGGTGTTCTCGGAGTTCTTGCACTTTAGCTCGGGTCGCGGCCATTTCCCGTCGAAGAAGCTCGGTGTCGTCTCGAGTCCGATCGTGGTCATCATCCAACCGGCGAAGGCGAACAGAGTTGACTTGGCTGGTGGCACCAACTTCCATGAGGTGGCGGGTGTTTACCCTGGTTTGCTCGTCGTGGCGTGCGACACGGTGAACCATGACAGGAAGGGTTCTGTCGGCTGACCCTCCTTGGCTGAGGTCGTAAAAACCTCGTTCCATGCCATAGGGAGGTCGTTGACCTTGCTCTCGGCTCCATCGATGTATAGTTTCGGCCCATTGGGGCGTCGGGTCTTGGAAGTGTTGCGGAGGGATATGGGCAGGGTGTGGATCGTAGACTTCAGGTTCGGAGTCGGTTCCATCTGAGTCTTCTTCCTCTTCACCGTCTACTGATTCTTCCTCCTCCATGGATTCTTCATCCTCCATGGGTTCCTCGTCCTCCATGGGTTCCTCTTCGGAATCTTCCTCTGGGTCTTCCACAATCCAACCGACATTCCCTTGGTTGGGGAAGTAAGGATCACCCGGTAAGTGAAATCTTGCCATTGCGGCTGTACGAGAATAGGGATAAGAAGGATATCGCGAGAAATTTTGGTATAAGAAGTTAGTTATCGCAACTTATCATGTGATTATTACGGTTTTTGTGCTAAAATACTCCTATAGTATTTTTATGTTTGATTCTCGAAGTTTTTGGAAAGTTGAAGACTTGTTGCTCATCATGATTCTTCTTCGGCATACGCTGGTCATACCTTGGCTAAATATAGTTGATCAGGCTATATTCATCCAAAATCTGACTACATACCCTGAAGCTGGATCATGGTGTTCAACTTGTCTAAATACTTTTATGTTATTGCCATTATGATACTGAATTAATGAGTGCGATTGTACGAATACTTTTATAAAAATACTAATTTTTATTTTTAAAGTATTTGAAAAGCTACGTCAGAGAAATTTGGTCCCGTTGTATTTATAGTTTGTATATCTTACGTGGTTCGATATACTTAGTTCATTATAAACAAAGCTCTGATACCAATCTGTTACACCCCCAAACCGGAACGACGGAAACGTTCGGGGGCGGAGGACGTCATGCTCAGTATCATAACCATAGTGAAGAAAGCAAACACAACCATCATAAATATAATTTAAAAGGTTACATCGTTGCAAAAATACATGTTTCCAAATAAATTACATATGATGCCAAAATAGTTCAAAAGAAATTTGTGCCTTAGCGTCTTGCCTTAAAAAATCTTGAATTTACATGTATTACTGAATACTTGAGAATACAAGTTGTTTTTGAAATAGTATCAACATTAAAGCTGGTGAGTTCATAAGCAATTTATGAATGAAAAATGGATGTTGTTCCTTAAAGTTTGTTACAAGTTTGTTTCCAGAAAATCCAATATTTTTTAAAAGGTTTGTTGTAGTCTTAACTGAACCAAGACTTAGTATATGTATGTAAATCGTCATACTTATGTATGGTTTTATATTTAAATAAAACTCCTTTTTGTGAAATTCTTAAATTCTCGTGAACTGTGTGTTTTGTTAATTCCCCATGTGAGTTGTTATAACCATGCTAAGACTCGAAGACCTCGTACTCGACGTTCTTCAAGCGTCGGAATGTTATGACACTTGTCACCCCAGACCTGCCGGTCTAGTTATTGCAAGCAGCTTAGGTGCGGGTTTGTCAGACCCAATATAAATCTATACACAACTATCACGCTCTCCCTACAAGAGATTCTGGCTATAACTACAAGACTTTTCTGTTGTACTTAAGAGTACCTTGAATGTGAATGTCTCACAAATTTATTCATTAACATGTTTACGTAGTTTGTAATGAAATACCCGTTTTGTAAATCGATTGCATTACTGTTTCTTTGTTAAATGAGGTGTTCAAACTATACCTATTATAGTTGATCAGTAGTGTGTTATGATTTGATGAAACCTTGATATGTAAGACTTTGTATTTCAATAAAAATTACATTGAAAATACTAAGCGTAAATCTTACACACCTTGCTCAGCATGTTACAAGGTGTGAATAACCCTTAAACTTGTTTTGACAGTTTTACCCTTAACTATCGTTGTTTTAGAATATTTATAGAAAAATCATCGTAAGTCGAAAACTGAATCCGTAAACTCGGAGAGTTTGGAAAAATAGCCTACTGTGTTCATAAATT